CTTACAGAAACTTTATGCTTCATATATTTTAACTAAACTTTAAACAATAATGAGTACCACTAACCTTTTGATATGTCATTTTTTCCTCTTTGTTAGGATTGACCCATGTCCAAATCTAATAGTCTGAGACTCCTCAATCCCCATTGTTAAAGTTCATACCACTCTGAATAAAGGGGAATGAATAAGACCTGCTATGTCCTGGAAAAGAAGTGAAGTTTCTAAAGCTTATTTTCTGCAAAAAAAACAGCAAGTACCAAACTATATGTACCTAGATCACGATCAACTTAAACTATAATCAACTTTCACAAGCACCCAAACAAAAATTGAAAGTTGAAAGTAAAACTTCACTAACATGAAACTAGAAACAGAGAAAAAGAATTAAAGAAACAACATGTTTTGTGACATAATCACTCTTGTGTAAAGATATTCATTCAAAAACTTGATTGACACATTTTTACAAACAGTTAATAGACATTAAAAAACTAAAAACTTAGAAACAAAATCCTTCATGCTTTAATGCTTTATCACAAATTACATGTAACAGTAGAAAGTGAATGAAAATATACATAAATCGAATACTATTAGTAAAAATAAATAAATACGGAGTATTTAATATGTAAAGAGGAAATTTTTACTTGAATAGGGTGGAACAAAGTTCCTGGGTGATGAAGATCGAGCAAATGGATGAGCTGTGGAGGACAAGAGAGGAGCAGCGGAGGGCGGACGTCATCTAGGAGCGACGGAGTGCGGACATCGTCTAGGAGACCCAAATCCTGGCGTGGTCTAGGAGCGCCGGAGTGCGGGCATCGATTAGGAGGGCCGGAGTGCGGGCGTCGTCTTGGAGCGTTGGAGTGCGGGCGTCGGATTGTGGGGGTCATCTAGGAGCCGCAGGGTGCGGGGTAGGAGCGGCGGAGTGCGCGAGTAGGAGGGGCGGCGGATCTTCACCAAGGCCATGTCTGTCGAAACTTTGCTCATTATACCTGAGAAACCCTTCTCGATTTTAGGAGGGGTGTACACTTTAATTTTAGAGATCATTCTATAAGGGCTAAAAATCAAGCCGACGTTGAAAACAAGTATTCTAAATTTAAAAAAATACCCCGTGCCAGATTGAATTCTATGAAAATTATGAAATTGACCCCGTTTCTCTTTTCTATAAGGGGTTAGCTTATATCCGTTATTAATAAAACTTTTCTTTTTACATTTATAACGCACCTAACAACTGAAAACTTTTATTATTTATGAATTTGACCCCATGTCATCATACTATAACAGTTGCAAAATAACCCATATTAAATGTTAGTTATAGAATGCATATTTTGCACTAGTGATATATTTACTTCACGAAATTGAAGGTGAGGAAGTAAAAAGGTATTAAATAAGTATTACAAAAATTCTCAATAGACTTTAGGGTCGGCTAACATTAATTAATCAATGATATTGGAGACAACAAGAAAAAAAGAAAAAATATAAGATGTGATAAAAATAAATTATATCATCTATGCTTTAATAGTTGTAACAATTTGACTTCATGTTTACCAACACACACCTTTGAATATGGAAATTCACATTAATATAAAAATAATAGAAGTAACATTTTACACATAATAATTCGACTATTTATTAATACACACACACACACACACACACATATATATATCAATATATATGTATATGTATATGTATATGTATATGTATATGTATATGTATATGTATATGTATATGTATATGTATATGTATATGTATATGTATATGTATATGTATATGTATATGTATATGTATATGTATATGTATATGTATATGTATATGTATATGTATATGTATATGTATATGTAGAGAACTCTTCATGTCAGGCCGGCAGAGCCGTCCGGCCGAGCCCGTTTGGGCACCTTCCCGGTGGAATTTTTTGATTAAATTTTTTGAGCATGTTCCTTATCAAGTCTAGTTTATATATACCAAATTTCAGCTAAAAATTCAATTGGGAAGGCACTCAAATCATTTTTTGAAGTTGACTGCGTCAAAATATACATATAAAAACGCAGTCAACTTCATAAAAAGATTTGAATGCCTTCCCGATCGAATTTTGAGCTGAAATTTGGTATGGACAAACTAGACTTGATGAGCAACATGCTCAAAATATTTCATCAAAAAATTCCACCGAGATGGTCGCCAAAAGGGCTCGGCCGGACGGCTCTGCCGGTCAGGCCGGCCTGACATGATGATTTCTCTATATATGTATATGTATATGTATATGTATATGTATATGTATATGTATATGTATATGTATATGTATATGTATATGTATATATAAGTAGAAAACCGTGATCAAACTATGGTGTGTGAATCGTATAAAAAGCATAATGTTGTAACAATTAAAGAATAGGGTCAAAGAATAGAGGAAGTAAGAAGAATAAGATCAAAGAACTTATTAGAAAATATTTTTGATAAAATTTACGTAAGAAAATATAAATGATAAAAGTACATATCTTTAACACAACCAACATTTCAATTAGAAGAAAATTTCCATTTGTACACACTTTTTTATAGACGTTTTATGCACACCTCTCGGATAAAGCTATTTTTTAATCTGTGTATTCTAGAGTAGTCATGGACTCGGTTCGGGCCACCCGGCTCGGGAACCGGCCCGACCTGCTACTTCGGGCCCGTAACCGGTCCTGGACCCGGTTTGTTGGAGAAAGCGGGGCGGGATCGGGCTGCAGAAAAGGGGATCCGGCCGGGCCCCGGTTCGGGTCGCGCCTAACGGCCATAATTTTTATTTAATAAATGGAGATCCAAACACCCCCTAGCCGTTGGGTAACGGCTCCCAAACGGCTATATAGCCGTTGGGTGGGGGGAAGGTGGGGTCCCAGTCGTTGGGGGGTAAAAAAACTATAAATACTCCTATTTCTATACATTTTTCTACACATCTTCTCCAACCCTTCCAACTCTCTACTCTCTAATATTCTATTATTCTTAATCATCTCCATCTTCATCTTCTCAAATTCTCTAATTTTCCATTCTATTTTACTATTTTATATTTACATATATTATATTACTTATATTTCTTATCTACTTAATCTCTACTTTTTATGTATTTATCTACTTATTATCTACTTAATATCTACTTAATACATACATATTACATCTACTTAATATATACTTTATATATTAAAGTATTAAATATAAGTGTATTACTCATCTTATAGTAATATACTTATAGGTAAGAGATCAAATACAAACCATGCTTAAAATACTAACCTAGAAACTCAATAAAATGCAACACTTTGAACTTCAATATGCATTACAAATAATGTAAAGATGCACACTATGAATTTTAATATGCACTAAAAAAAATATGCAGTATTTTGAGCTTTAATATGCAATACAAATAATATGCAGCACTTTCAACTTTAATATGCATGGCAGTATACATAATGTAAAGAGGCACAGTTTGTGACAGTTTGTAGGTTAGCATGGGAAGACTAGTTTGTATGTGATCTCACCCCTATACTTATATATTATATACTATAAATTATAAACATTATATTGTATATTAGTTATACAATTATTATATCTACTAATATACTTCGAATTATCTACTTATATAGTTATATATACTTAATATCTACTTATCATATACTTGTTATTTACTAATATAATACTTATATTACATCTAATTAATACAATGTATTAATTATATATATAAGTGTACTACTCAAATACTCATATTATATAATTATATATACTTAGTATCTACTTATTACATACTTCTTATTTAATACTCATACTTATAATTGTCTACTATACGTAATATATTATATATTAGTTACACTTTAATTAATATTAGTTAAATTCATTCTATTACTCCCATTCATTAGTATACACATTCATACATTTGTATTCTTAGTTACATTTTTTAACATTATTAGTTGATTACTTAATTGTTACATTTTTATTAAAGTAGTACATTAGTTCATTACAAATTTTAATTAATTGTTACCTTTGTGACCACTTTACAAAAGTAGTTAATTGTTACATTATATAGCTTCAATTTTTAGAAAAAAATATTAGTTAGAATTTTATTTCATTAAACTACACTTGTTAGATTGAAGTATTAATTAAAATAGTTTTAATAAGTTTCATTACATTTTTACTCATATTAATATATTTGTTCCAATTTAATATTTGTTACATTTTGTAGGATGAATCGTGGTAGAAGTTCGGTTGATATGGGCAATTTTCAACGCAACTCAAAGAACGAGATCCAAAGGAATAATCCTAATACACGCGAAGGTAAACAACATATCAGATCTTCCTCTCAAAGCCGAGATGATGCTTGAGCGCAAACTCTCTTGAGACGCTTTTATGCTACCACAATTGGTTGAAGGTCGGACGTAGAACTCAAGAATTTAGTATCACCCCCTCCAAACACTTTATGGATGAATCAACAACCGAGGGTGGCTCTACCTATGGCGGAGATTCCGATTGATTAGTATTTTACAATTTATTATAAAATGTATTTCATGTTTGAATTTTTTCCTCAATTCTTAATTGTAAACTTGTAGTTCATATTTCAAATAAATATACGTTCATTTTTTATATGTAACACTTCTCAAATTAAATAATTGGTTAGAACTTACAATTAATGTATTTCAAATTATATTTTTTTCTTAATTCTCAAATGTAGTTCCTATTTCAAATAAATACACTTGAACTTTGTTATTAACATGAAGCACTTGTGTAAATCAGTAGGGGAAAAAAACCTGACCGGCCCGACCCGGCGGGTGGCCCGACCCGTGACCCGGGCGGGTGGCCCGGTCCGAACCGTCACCGGCCACAACACGGGCCGGTCTCGGGCTTCGTCCCAGAAATTGGAGGTCCGGCCGGGCCTAGGCCCAAACCGGGCCCGACCCTGGCCTTAACCGGGCCCGGTCCATCACTATTCTATAGTCTCACAAAACATGTTTGTGAATACGTTCGCGGACATGTTTTGCTAAATGACAGATTCACAAAGAAAATAGTCCCTGTATAAGAAGTGTATAACAAAGTGTGTGCAAGACCAAAAATCAGTGTACATTCAAAAATCCCCTATTTCATCGCAAGGAGTGTGTGAGTTCTTCCAGAGTTCCAGGGTGCAGATTGCTAAGGCTTACAAGGAAGGATACAAGAAGGTAACAGGAAACCCAAATCATTTCCTGTAACTGAAAGGCTGTGCTCATTGCTTAAAAGGATACAAAAGCGCTTCTTAGCAAGTAAAAAGCTTTATATCAGCGCACTGCATGTTTGTTGAAATGCCCAAACCGCTTATTTGTCTTCCTTTTACCAGATATGAGCTGCAGTTTTCTTTCTACATTTTCAAGACCGGCAGCTATTACTGTAGGGAAGACCCAAAGCAATGTGTCACGGAAGCAAATAAAAACCTCCAAGCAAAGAAGAATTTGTGCTTACTACGGCCTCAAAACACCTCCTTACGAACTCGTGAGTTTCTAATTTTTCAACATTGTTTTTGTTCCTTGAGGTTCCGTGCTTTCAATCAGTTTTCTCACCTGACACTTGAGTATAATGTTACAATGAGTGAATTTATAGGATGCATTAGAGCCCTACATGAGTCGAAAGGCAGTAGAGTTACACTGGGGTGGGCACCACCGAGGTTACATTGAAGCTCTGAACAAACAGCTTGGGAAGAATGACGTACTGTATGGATACACCCTGGAAGAACTGATTAAAGTCACTTATAACAACGGAAATCCATTACCTGAGTTCAACAATGCTGCCCAGGTATATAGATGTGTGAGCATTGCATTCTTGATTTTGTTTACTAGCTTTACTAGGGTAATTGATTGACTAGTTATTATGCTAGGTTCACCTATAGAGCGTCTTTTGAGATATTGCCCCTTCAATTATGTCAAGTTAGAATTCTCGAAAAATGAACTTTTTTAGTGGCTTGTGAATGTTCTCCAGCTATTGGTATACTTAAGGAATCATGTGTTTGATTAGGTCTGGAACCATGATTTCTTTTGGGAATCCATGGAACCTGGAGGAGGGGACATGCCTAAGGTTGGCCTACTTCAGCAGATTGAGAAGGACTTTGGCTCATTTACAAATTTCAGAGACAAGTTTATTGAAGAAGCACTCTCATTGTTTGGTTCTGGCTGGGTTTGGCTTGTTTGTAAGTTCTCTACTTGCTTTTGGTTCCCCCCCCCCCAGCTATTATTACCTGTGCCATCTCTACTTTACTAGTAAAATGCCATGACAGGCTACCCATTTTTTCCCATCATTATGGTCTGTATCTTTACCAAAGAACTAAATAATATGCCGAGTTGAAATCATTTAGTTGCTCGATAGATTTCTCAAGTTAAAATGGCATAGGAAAGACAACAAGTGCCTGGATTTGGAAACTAGTCAGTATTAATCGTAAATCAAATTTACTGGAAAATGGTACAACAACCATGTACAATCTTAATATCTAATTCATTTTTAAAATGGCTTGGTAAGTGCTTCATGCGGTTCCATTGGTTTGTTACTTTTCAGTGAAGAGGGAGGAGAAACGTCTTGCAGTTGTTAGAACATCAAATGCTGTCAATCCTCTTGTGTGGAATGACATTGTGAGAACTTTTCTCCATGCTGATCTAGAAATATCTTGTGGACTTTATTTTTATAGGATTTAATTCGGCTTCCCTTATTTTTCCAGCCTATCATCTGTTTGGATATGTGGGAGGTATGTTCATCACCACCATGGGGCCCTTTCCATCTTATCTTTAATCCCCCCCTCCATTTAAAAAATGGTCATGTGATTTGACATGTATATGTTGATTTTACAACATCAATCTTCTCACAGGACATGGTAATATGAACTATCTCAATTTATCAGATGATATGTTCCATGAAATTGAAAAAACCTTTGAAGATGAGATTTAGAATCTTATGTCATTATTGCTGTAAGAAGGTTGCGACAGGAAGAGCGTTATGTGTGAAGCACTGTCACTATGCATTTTTGCATGAACTTATGTGGTTATAAACTATATTTTATGATGATAAACTGAAACTGCAAGTATCATGCCCCTAACCCTAACATAGTTGGAAGTATGTAGCGATGATGAACCCCCTCTTCCCATTTATTCACACGCACACAGCACACTTTGCATACTGTCATAATACATGCTGACAATATCTTATCTGTTTCTGCTTTGCAGCACACTTACTATATGGATTACAAGGTAACAAGCACTATATATCTGTGGACTCTCATTACTATTCTGTGTCCATTTAATCTGTCTAAAGTATCTATTCATTTGCGCTTATTTCGGGTTCGCAGAATGATAGAGAAAAGTATGTTGAAGTATTTATGAATCATCTTGTCTCTTGGACTACTGCATTAGTGAATCTGGCTCGTGCACAGTCCTTCGTGAATTTAGGGGAACCCAAAATTCCTGTTGCGTGACATTACACAACATGTCAGTAAGCTCCTTGTTATAGATGGATCATTAGATATCTTGGGTGGACATTGTGTATGTATTTGTATATAGGAGATCAAAGTATACAGTAGGTTAAGGCCATTGTGCTAAATACATCAGTACTTGATAGTCAATATAACTACATCTTTTCCACAAGAAGAGTCATGTTTAGAAAAAAACATTATTGTTATCATAATATTGTTGTTGGTATTGTCACTCCTACACCTACTACTAGTATGGATGGGAATCAAGGTGTTGGTCGACTTTCCTAATAAAGTTGTTTATGTAACCCTATCTCATAGTCTTCAATTTGCTAGTATATAAGTTCCCGCCATCCCACCATTACTGCCACTCCAACTATCACCCCTGTCATACATGTAGCTCTAAATCTATCATATATGTACATGTTTAATTTTTATTATTATTTATTTATTTATTTTATTTTCCCATCTTCATAATTGCTATGTCATATGTACGTGTTTACGTTGACCCCAAACTCTCTTGGATTTAAGGCTTTGTTCTGTTTTCTTTTCAGTCAGAAAGATCATTTTTTTTAGCTGAGATTTGTTTTCCCTCTTCCGATTTCTGTATTCAAATACTGTGTGTGGCTAAGAGAGGACACATAAGGGACTTGGGCTTGTACGCATATGGAAGTGAGAACACCTCAAAGTATTGATGGTGAAGTGGTGAACATCGCCATCATCTACATTTCTCTCATAAATCTTCCAACTTTTTTCCAAAAGATATTGAAAAAACGGATGCAGATGATTTTTTAGCATTACAATGTTATTTAAATATGTAATTAGCTACTCCTATTTTAAACATCTTTCCTAGCATAATCGAGTATAAGTTTTTGACTTCATATCAAGAATTACAAAAGATAAACATCCATATTTAGGCCATGGCTTCTTTAACGCAGTAACCTTTTGTAAATTGGATAGGAGAAAGTATCTTTATACTCCGTATCATTTTCTTAATTGGATTCTCTCTATGAATTAGAGGTTCTTACGAATTATACTGAGCGCTGAATTTTTTTATACACTCTTCAATTGAATAATGAAAGCGTGGAATTTTGTAAATCTTGTACACTAATTAAATAGTTAATCACGAACTAAAATAATCAAGACTGACCCGGTTCCAAATTTACTAGTGAAATCTCAAAAGATGTATTCATTTGATTTCATTTTTTGTCATTTTTTTTCCTTCTGTAAACATCGGAGTTCCCCTCTTCGTAAAATATTCTATGTCCTCTCCTTGGTGCTCCCTAGGAATTAGCAATTGGCTCTTTCGAACTCGATATGATCGGACATGGTCTAATTTCCTTAAGTTTGATTTGTTTACAATTGATAAGATTTGGTGTGTTTTAATATCTAGTCTGATTTTTTTTTTCTGTAATTGCAAACATGCTTAGTATAGTTGTTATTGACTCTTATGAGAATTCATTTGAAACGGAGGAAGGGACTATATTTTTTCGTAAATACAACTAATTGTTTAACACTCAACTTGATAGTATCATGCCCTTGACAACCTCATTAAGTCATTAGGATGCCATCTTACTTGTTGGGCATCATGTTCCACCACTTGACATTCTACCACTGTGTATTGCAAGCTTTGTTCATTAACTAAGAAACAGACAATGATCTATGGTAACCGCAGTCAATGTAATCGCTCGGCTGCAGCTACTTATTTTTGAACTCCGAATACCATGGCATCTCGCTTCACCTCCAATGTGATAATCAAGTTGTCCAACACATTGCAAATAATTTAGTATTTCATCGGTGTGCAAAACATGCCAAAATTTATCGGCACTGTATTCATAATGAAATACAACGGATCTTTTAACAACATTTGTTCCTTGGGAGTTGGGATGAACAGCTTGTGGATTTCTTTACTAAAATTCTTCTTCGAACTCATGTTCCAGCTGCAAACTTGAGGGGGTGGAACAACTCAAAATTCATTTAAATGTTTACCCTATTTTCGTATTTCAGCTTTATACTCTTCTCTTAGATTAGATTCATTGCATATGAATAATGAATTGTTACTTCCATTTCTTACCAGGGACAGATCCAGGATTTTGAGTCGAGGGGGGCGAATTTTTTTTCATTAGTGTAGGGAGTGAAAAAAAATCGCTAGTGAGCGGGATGGGAAAAAATTCGCTAGTGTACCGGAGCGAATGTTTTTGCTAGTGTAGGGTTCTGCGGCTAATTTTTATTCAAAAAGTTCCATTAGTACATACTACATACATGATGGCATGTATATCTATTACGGAGTATATTCTAATTCTAATTTTATACAATGAAAAGATAACTTTGATTTAATAACTATAAGTGCTCTAGAAAAAAGTATTGTTACATTAAAGCTTAAAAAATGACAAATCAAAGAAAAATTATTTAAAAATAAGAAATGATATATAACATTTTATGATATTATTTGAAGGTAAAAAGGTTAAAATTAAAGGTACACATGAACCAATGCTTTTTAAATAACTTATTTCTTGTTTAACCACATGAATCTTAATAGAATAAAGAATTGATTTTTGAATAGAGATTTTTGTCTACCAAGAAGAGTATTTGTGGGTCACAATGAGTTTTCTTAATATTACAATAGTATGTATGATATTACTATACTTAGAATAATATGATACATAGTAATGTTAATTCATATATATGGTGCATATTATATTTGTATTAATGCTAAAATAAGTTAAAATATTATCTATTCAACAAATTGTTTTTAGAAAGTAACAGGTAAACAAAGTGTGTAATTTAATTTCAACAAACATTTATACTATTTAACTATTGTATCTGATATTCAATATCGTGTGATATCTTACAAAATCGAGTTCTAATTATCTAATAAAGATAAATGAACATTACAAAACTAATTTTTTTAGATATAGTCTTAAACAATGAGTTCTATTGTTTATTTGTTTAAGTTATGTAATTATTTTAGATTCTACTTCATTTAAATCTCCAATTAAGTATTATATTATGTGAGCCTATATATTAATTTTGAAAACTAAAAGTTAAGGGGGGCGAAAACACACACACATATATATAATTAAAGTATCAAAATTTTATGAAACTATTACATATATAGTAGAAAATTTTGGAAGTCCAATTAGATCCGTCCTTGTTTCTTACCAATTAGCCGCCATTGCTATATTCTTTTTTTTTCTTAAATTTATTGTATATGAATTACTATTTCCATCTCTCCCCAAATAGCAGTTGAATGTGTGAAAGTGTGAACAAGAATAGAAGGCATCAGTGCAAACTCAAAACACATTATCTTGGAGACTTTCAAAGTTTCACCATTGAAGTGAAACTATTCCAGATCATTCCATGTGAGGCACCTTACATCCCTGTTTTCAAAACAAACTATTCCAAAGAAAGAAGATATGATAACATTGATTAATGCAAGTGTCACTGGGAGTTTGGGACTCATCACTTCACTCATATATGGTCTCATCATATGCACCTGCGAAGGAATGATAAGCAATACACAACTGTCAAAATTACTTTGGATATGTTTGGCTTTTGGCGTTTCAGCCAAAACGGCAACATGATTTATACTCGAAACGCTACAAATAGTAGCGGATTTGGCCAGCGGTTCCACTCAACCGCCGATAAACAAACGAACCCTTTATGTGCACAAAATAGATACGAAGTGATTGCATGCAAAGTATAGGGAATCAATTATTTTGCATCTAAACTAGATTACATTGTTTGGTTAGATGTGTAATTTATTTTTAAATTGCACGCAAAGTATTTTACTACTCTTGTGCCACGTAAAGTACTTTACATGGTACAGTGCGAAATGTTTTAAAAAAGTGCACTACAGTTTACATTAAATAATCAAACCAAACAGTGTAAACATTTTACGTCCTTACACTTTGCATGCAAAGTAATTATTTTACATTATACCAAACGTCCCCAGGTAGATTTGTACTAATATTACGCAGTCGGATTCATTCTGGGTTTTTAGTTATGATGTCTAAATTATTGAAAACCTACTATGAAGACTTGCTTCGTTCGGAATAAATATGATAAATTGTTTCCTCGTTTTATGAGATTGGCATAATATCTCTCTTTTTCTTTGGCACAATGGTTTCAAGCAAATTCATAGACATCCAATAGATCATCGTCTCACCTAATCATAAATAAACTGAGGACTTGGTGAAGAAAGCCGCAATCGAATGAGCTCTTGCAGAATATACAAATCTCTTGCACTGGATAGATTAGCATCAGTTGATATATGCATTTTCTTCAGCCTAGGGGGTCTCAGCGGCACCAGCAACCACAACAATAATAATAAACATTGAAGAAATATTCAAATCAGATCAAATAGAAAGGATTCAAATCAGGTAAAAAGAATTCAGATCAGATCGGAAATATTTAGATCAAATCAGAAAGATATAGATTAGACGAGAGAGATTCAGATCATTTCAGATAAGATCAGAAATATTAAGAACAGATTAGATCAAATCAGAAAAATGCAGATCAGATCAGACCAGATCTTAAAAAATTCAGATCAGGCAAAGAGAATAGCTTCTAAAGGGAGTCAGTATGCCACACAGCCGACTGTATGGTGAGCACCATACAGTCGGTGGCATTTTTGTAATTTAAGTGAAAATCACGTCATATTTTAAATGAGCATTAATGCACTTTTAGTGAGCATCAGACTTATTTTGTTGAGTATTAGAAGTCAAATATTAAACATCGTGATGTCTGCTTCAATTCTTGTAATTCACTTTTTTTTTTAATTTTTTAAATATTTATAATGAACTCGTAAGAATCCAATATGCGAATCTAGTGTAATTTTATATTTTGTAAATATGCACATATATATATGACATTTTGAAACGAGCATTACACTAATATAACATGAGCATATATAAATTACGAAATGAGTATAAAAAAATGAAAAAGCTCATTTCAAATCTCTAGTATGTTCAAATATAAAATGAGCATACATAACTTACGAAATAAGCAATGAAAAATTTAAAATGAGCATTACACCAATATGAATATGACATTTTGAAATGAACATTACACAAATATCAAATGAGCACATAACTCACAAAATGAGCATTGAAAAGTTCAAAAAGTTCATTTAAAATTTCTAGTATACTCGAATATTAATTTGTGCATACTCTTTTACTCAAATATTAAGATCCCGTTTTAAACTCTTGAATATAAGTACATGGATGATGGATTAGGAGTATGCACTAGCTTTGTGGTTGAAAATCTAGCTCCTGGAGATTGCAGAGGATTATCCTTTGTGATGACTTTGTCTTCAACGAAGATATCTTCTACAGCACTGCAAA